TTTCTTCTATCAGGAAAATTTTTTTTCCCCAATTTAGAAATGCATAAATATTTACTTGTTCTTATGTTGACCACAAATTTATTTAAACATTGATATTAAATTATATTTTTATAACATTTGAGACAAAATAACATTAGAGACTACTATTATTTGTCTAATCTTGAAGTTAGTCAAAAAATATCCAATGATTTTGAAAGGGATGTGATTATAAGCTAATTTAGGGTCTATTTGAAACAATTTTTTTTATTGCTTTAATTTTCGGGCAGCAATAACAATTTCATTCGACTGCTACTTTTTTATTGCTTTCTCACTATTTTTCAGAAATTTTTATAATGAAAGCTTTATACTTTTAAGTAGAGTGGCTAAATTATTTTTACCATAGCAATTTTACAACCAATAGATAAAACACTACAACTATCTCAAACAGATCTTTATTTGATAAAATTTTTAAAATTATATAAAAAATATATGATGAAATTTGTTTGATAAGTACTTATTCTTAATTATTTTAATGTCCATACTTAGGCATACTTATTATGTGATGAAAAATAATTTCGCTCAATAATCACTTAGATTTTTAACTAAATCAAAATATAAATCATATTTCTTGAAATCAAGCTTTGGCTAACTCAATGTTAATTTCATTTAACTCAAAAAAATCAGCTTGCTTTATGTAAATAAACACATAAAAGCTTTATTTATGGTAGTTTATTTATTTATTTTTAATCAAAAAGCTCTCTTTCCAGCTACAGTTTCAAAAATAAATTTTCAAAAAGTTTTTTTAAAATAAAAATGGAAATACTGATGAAAAACTATCTTCTAAACATAAATTATTTTTTACAAGCTATTTTGTTTATTACAAAAGCACTCGAAAAACTATTAAAAACAAAACCATAACCTATTTAAGAATTTACTCAATATTGTTTGATATCTTTAAGACATGGTTCAAATTAGAGCCCAAAATAAATTATTTTCAAGCTAAATAAATAAAATTGATTTTGGGCTGGGCTAGTTCTAGCAAACTTTTTTTTTTTTGGAACGAGGTATTCATCTGCTGCCAGTCTGCCACCCTCGAAAGGGTGCTTGACGGTGTGACTAATCCTCGGCTGACCTAGAAGAGGCACCCACCTTAAAAACCTCTTGACCCACACTTCATTGAGCCCACTTAAGAGGCGCTGCCACCCCCGAAAGGGCGCTTGGCGAAGAGAATCAAGCATGGGTTGATCAGGGGCTCCCAACCGTACTCGCCCGCCAAATAAACTAAAAAACGGTGGGAGAGTACTGTTATTTACCCCCACCGGAGAGTACATGGGTTGATCAGGGGCTCCCAACGGTGGTGGCAGCGCCATCATGGGTTTCACTCAAACTTCACTCATTATTTACCCCCATCATAATATAAAAACACAACACTACCTTTCCAAAAGAATAATAATAAAAAATTTGAGCAAGCAATAAACTATGGGGCTTTCCATTGGTGAAAGAGGGACAGGACATGGAACAATGGGAGGGAAGGCCACAAGGGGACACAAAGGAAACAAGGTTAAGTAAAATGTTAGGAGAGTACTGTTCAATACGCAAGAGGGAATGGGCTCCCACTCTAACCTTAGCTTTGCCCACTAATAATTTTTACAAAAAGGAAGCTTAGTGGCTCCCACTCTCTCTCCTCTTTCTCTTTCTATCTCCTCCTCTCTCTCTCTAAAAAGTAAACAGATCAGGCAAAAAGTAGACGGCAGGAGTTCACCATTGCTTACTCCAGCAGACAAGGTCATGTGCAAGAGTCCATGTCTAAAGCGACCCATTTGTCGAATTTAGGGACATGGGCCCCCACCACAGTTGGCTTTGACCTTGACAAGGATCTGTCAAACTAGCCCGGCCCGGCCCGGCCCGGTGTGAACTCATACAATTATTTTCTGGGACTGTTATGTTTGCCAAGCTTGAATAATTTACTGTGACGCTGTTCATGAAAATTTTGATTTTGATCTGTCACTGACAAAGGGCGACAGGATCGGCGGCCTGTGATGCAGTGATGAATAAGATGATGGGATTGTCTAAAATTTTTCTTTGAAACTCTTAAGCGCGATGGCCGAAACTCTTAGTCTAACGAAAATTTAATTTTTTTTTATTAAAAAGTTATTTTAAGAAGTTTTAAAAAAATTGTCCAAATGAAATTTTAATTATAACTCAAATTTTTATGATTAGTAGAGACTTAAAATATTAATGAATTTTGAATAGTATCAATATATTATATTTAAAAAATATATTTTGAATTTTTTAAAAAATTGCTTGATTTATTTCAAAAAATAAAAAAATGACTAAAAATATAATTCAAAAATGATTTTTACTAATAAAATATAAAGTAATCCCAAACATTACCTTAATTAAGCCAAATTGAATTCAAGATGTCAAGTTAGCCTTCATTTAAGACAGCTTTTTAATTATTTTATAAAGTAATTTTTTAGTATAAAATTTTTTGTACTAGAAAGTTATTTTAGAAACCCCAGGCTTCATTATTACTCGTTATATTTTTATATAAAAATAAATCATGTTATGATATTATAATAGAAATTTATCATGATAATTAATAGTAACATAGCTAATAAATAATGATTATTCCCACTGTAATATCTGCATCTAATAATTTCTCCTAATAAAGGATATATATTTTATTATTGATAATGTTTGAAAGCCTTTTATTCTCCTTGATTTTTATTTACCAAGTTGCATGACAAAATCATTATTTTTTTTTTAACGGAGTTTCATTTGAAGAAAAAGAAAGAAATTTTTAGAGTCTCCCAAATTGGCCAAATTCTAAGTCCAGGTCCCAACGTGAGAGAAACCTCATCGTCCCCATCTCCCGTTCTTCTACGTGAGAGCACCTATCGATTCGTCACCGTCGCTCGTTTTTTTCTGCACTTGTTGTTTCTCCAGGAGTGCACTTGTCAATTCATCTCCGTCGCTCGATCTCTCGCAAGAGTTCGCGTCAATCCCCGTTCACGTGAACTCCCAATGATGCCGCCTCCGCAAAGCTCTCATCACGATTTAATCCCTCCCCATGGCCTGTCGATAAGTCTCGTTGATGTCCATGTCATGCCATGGAGAAATTAGTATGTGCGGAGTCCGGATAATCCGGATGTGTGAGATTTAGGGGTGTAAGTGAGCTGAGCTGGCTCGTGAGGCGGCTCGAACTCGACTCGTTAACGAGCGCAAGCTGAGCTTATCGAGCTTCGAGCTTGAGCTCGAGCCTACAATCGAGCTCGTATGATAAACGAGCTCGAGTTCGAGCTCAACTCGACTCGACTCAAAAGCTTATCAAGCTACTCGATATATATATAATACGCATTCTACATGCGTTGCGTGCTTCTCAAACTAATCGAGCTCGAGCGACACATTATACATGTCTTATCAAATTTTTTTAAAAAATACGAAATTCTAATTTAAGTACTAATTTAGTCTAACTTTTATCAAGATGTATCAAATATAAAAAATTATTTCAACCAATAAATTTTAAGTAAAGATAATATAATAATCAATTGTAACTTTTGATCTTAAGTTTTCCTATAATATGAAAAATACGAAAAAAAAAATAATTTAGGTCGGTTATTTAGATAAAAAATTTCATCACAATCCCATATAATAAAAAATTTATTTATTAATTGATTCTCGTAAATAAAATAGGTCATAACTAATTAATTTCTATTTTTAAATATATAACTTCATTTATAACTTTTTTTTTTTTTAATTTACAACTTCAATAAAATATTTACATTATACTAATATCTCATGATCTAAATTATAACCCTAATATAACTTTTGTAAAATTTTTACTTAGAACTTGTTAAAAATAAACATTAAATAAAATCCTTAAGTAACTCACTGTTCCCAATCAGTCAAACCCGACACTAACCCGTTACTGTTTTATAAAAAAGTGCATTTCTTTAAAATCAGGTCATGACATTCACAAAAGGATTTAATACAAAAATATTTTTATATTATGTATAATAGCTAAAGAAATGCAATTTTATTTTAAATCAATTAAAATTCAAGTGATTATGAAATAAATCTTAAAAATTGAATAAAACTAGTAGCCTGCTTGAACTATTCCCATTGTAGGTCTCGGGTTCGATTTCCATGGGCGGCCACGAAAGCCTTAAGTGTTGGCCCGGACGAATTGGTGTGAGTAGTCTGCTAGGTCGACCGGGGAGATTAGTGGCCGAAGGCCGATACTCCCTGTCCCAAAAAAATAAAAAATAAAAAAAACTATTCCCATTGGAGTTCTGTTTAATGAAGCTTTTGTTTATACTCAACAATGGCAGAACTACCACAATGGAAAAAGAGAAGGTTGATGGTTGCACGCCAAAAAAAAAAGTGCTTTTCTGAAATCACTTATCGCCACTCTCTTTTAGATAATTCTCACTTTATGATAAGTTTTAAAACGTTTTTTTTTTTTCACTTTAGATAAACATTGAAGATTAAGTTTATTAAATTACTCAAAAAAATAAAAAATAAAATTTTTGTCCAAGAGAGTTTTCTTACAAACGTTAACAAAGTTTATTTTTCGACTTTGAGAAATCCAAATACTGCTACGATCTACATATAAATTAGATTGATTGCCAAGGTTTAATAAGTACTTAAAAAAAAATCACAGAAATAAATTAGTAACAAAGGATTAATAAACAATTACATTAAAGGAAATATTAAAATGATTTATCTTAAAACATAATACTAAAATAGAAAATTAAAATATTTACATCTGATTAAAAATACTCATAAAATGAATTAAAAAGAATACTGTTCAAAATTTTGAAAGCCAAAGGAGCAAATCTTATGTCATACATAAATTGTAAAAAAATATTTATTTCACATCTTAAAATAATCAAGTAAAACAATCATATATTCTCAAATTGCTTCAATAAGATAAATATTGAGTTTTTTTTTTATTATTATTTTTTTTCATCTTTGAAAGAAAGAAGAAAACGAAAAACTGAACAAATTCAGCAAGATGTTCAAAATGGTAATAAGGAAATAGGCACTCTATAGGGGAAAATTGTTTTTCTAACAATATGAAGTACTCTAAATTGTTTTTCCTAATCCATGATGATTCAAAGATAATAACCTAATTGTTTATTGAAAATGTAGCTTATGAATGGCATAAAATTGAATAGAAACAATGGAATAAAAATAAATTAGCTCATCTAGTTACATGTTGAGAATGGCAACAACTGATAAAGGCTCTGTAAATTACTGTGCTTTCTAGATGGTCTTTGGAGAGGCCTCCTTTTCATTCTCCACAAATGATCAATTTCGCTGCAACATTTTAGAAAGTTCATTTGGTCAACAGTATCTGCAATATTTCCTTCCAAACAAGAGCCAACCTTTCCAGTCCGTTTCCTCCGCTTGGATTCATGACAAGCTGGAGTCTTAGGTTCTCCATCATTGCTTGATCTGCAAATTATATTAAAATAGTTGAATATGCTTCGAGGAAACAAATTGTTAGATTGAAATTAATTTTTTTTAAACCAAATTTCATTCATACCAAGGAAACTACAACAGCCCAAGATAAGACGAGCAACAAATACAATGCTTGGAAAGAAAACTCCAAAAACAATAGGAGAAAAAATTAAAGGCCACAAAAAAAAGAACAATGAAAGCCATTCGGAGTTCGAAAAGCAGATCCTGCACCCACCCAGCTACCAAGGAAGGGCCATCCATTGGATGCAGCAAATCTCCCAAAGTAGCACCATACTAAACTACATCAACCCACAATCATAAGATAACAGCCGATCAAAATTGAAGCAATAAGGTTGCCGGCAACTAAGACGACACTGGGTTAGTGCAGAAGTGCGCCTCATCATATAGTCCAAACAATCCACGCAACCCTAAAACCAAATCCAAGCCAGCCAAAACCACCAAGCCCTCCAATCGGCAAGCACTCCAACTCAAAATGCCAAAACCATCCGGATGACTCAGAAGCAACCAACAACAAAAGAGGTAAGACACAAACTTAATGGATGGTTTCTCAATAGGATTGAAATTAATGGAATGTGCAATAGGATGATTTTTGGGAAAGAGGAAGTATGAAGAAAATATAAAATTGACCTTTTAGGATGGTTTCTCAATATAGATAAATCAAAAATAAGTTTTCAAGAAAAGTGAAGCATTGCTTTTTGGATTTGTAATGCTAAAAAGCTCTCATGCAAGTCACATTTCCTCTTTAACATCAAGGCCAAAAGCAACAATTATTTCTTGAATTTAAAAGATGCACAGAACTTCCATCAGCGATACCAATAACATGGAAGAGGGAATAATCTGTAGAATAAGAATAAAATCATAGATTTTACCAATAGCATACCTTTCTTCATAATATACAGGACTGGGAAGAGAGATAAATTCTCCATCAAATGGCTTGCAAGCTGGACAAAGGAAAGTCTTGCGAGGTGCTTCACGCAGGTTGAGACAATCAAAATGGTACCACTCATCACATTGGTCACAAGCAATCATGGGTCTGTGGTCATCAGGCTTCCGACATATGCAATAAAGTATGCTACGGGTTTTCAATAACTGCATTAATTAAAACATATCAGCTAATGAACTCAAATGATATACAAGCTGCATTATTATTACTAGCTACCTTCATCTCCTCATCGAATTGGACAGGCAAAGCTTCTCCTTCAATTATCAGTTCAAACACTCTGCTCAATGCAATTTCTCCGAAATCAGACGCAACCTACATGAAGTTGTAGATAGTCTAGTTAGGCAAATATCGATTAGCTAGATACCACTGAGTAACTGAAATAAGTTGTTGACTTGGTTCGAATTTAAGCCAAACTTTCAAGGGCCACATGAAGCATCAGCTGACAAATTTTTTAAAAGCCCATCACAGCTCAATAAGCAAAATATTACTTAATTCTCTTCGCGCACTCCTACAATTATCTCTCTCTCAAGCTAAGGGGTCGGGTTTATTGATGTAGGCCAAAGTTGAACTCAAGATTCTATGAATTTCAGAGATCTTTATCAACCAAACTTCACAATCTTTTTATCAGATAAACTTTTAATTATTCTCTTTCAAATTTATTCAAGTATCTACCTCTTTATGTAATTTTCAAACTGAACACACCATTGATTATGATCCACACTGCAAAAATTATTGGGTTAAGTTTCGCCATTTTTTGTAATGATTTAGCATTTCATCAAATATGCCAGACAATGCAAAATTGATCAATCAAAATATAAAAACCTTCTAAAAAATTAAGCTTTCCCAAAGTATCTCACCAATCAAAATCACCCTATATATGTAATACATAAAATTTGAAATGGATGAGATGAAAATTTGATCTTAAAAATTATATCCTATTTTTCGCACATATCGAAAATCATCATGACTTCTCTATAAAATTCTACTTTTCATTTCCACATTTTCATAGATAGATGTCTACAAAAATAATATTATTTTATTAAATTTTAATTAATTTATTTCTTAAATAATTTTCATACATATTTAATTAAAGATTGGGTTTAGGGTTATTGCAATTTATTTAGCAATTTTCCTAAAATGTAGGTCTTATGACTTCACTTAGAAGTTGTCCGGTAGTGGGTCATACAACATAGTCCTATAGGATAAGCTGACCAATTGTCTTGGTTGACAGGTCTTACGACTCCCTTAAAGTTGCAAGTAGGTTTGATTTGGAGTGGAACTTATAGCTCTATTCCGTTAGCGGGTATTACAACCTAGCTCTTCAACAAGGCTGCCTAAGGAATTAATTATTTGGATAGGTCTTGTACCTTCCCCTTCTAAGTTGCCTAAAAGTGATTCTTACAACCTAATCCTTTAGATTAAGATGCTCGTTGCTTCAAATTTAATTTGAGGGGAGTATATCTCAAATAACAGGTTTTGCAACTTTTATAAATTACTTGAAAGTGGGTCTTACAAGTTAATTCTTTAGACTAAAATACTCTTAAACTTTTGTTCGAGAGTTTGAAATTTCATTTAGAAATTTTCCAAAATAATATGTTTCATGACTTCTATTAGAAGTTGTCTAGTTATTTGAGTAGGACGAGTTTTATTGCTTCCCTTTGGAAATAGCCTAGTGCCACAACCTAGCCTTTTAGGCTAAGATACCCATTATTTTTTTGTTTGTTTGTTTTAGTGGATAACAATTGTTTGTTAGCTTGACACTATACTGTGATTTTCAATTATTTACTAGCTCCACACTTGTTGTTGTGTGACCCTAGTGCTTCTTCTATAGTTCTTACTTTTTTTTTTCATTGTCGTAAACTGCACTAGTAGTTAATTTACCAATAGCGTGTTCTACTTTCAGCTACTATATGTCAATAGCTTAGTGTAGCACTTGTTCTCTTTCCACCTTTAACAATTTTATTTCAATGCTAATTAATTTTATTTGCTCGTTGCAAGAGCTCATGTTGATTCAGAGTTGAGAGTTTGTAAGTTTTGTGTTTATGCTAGAGAGTTTAGAGGGTTTGCAGAGCGGCGTGTTTAAGAATTATTGTGCTGAGTTGAGAGTTGTTTGTACAGGGTTTGGAGAGCAGTATTGTTTGAGAGTTTCAGTGTTGAGTTGTATATATTGACAAGTGAAAACTACTTTATTTTTTTTATTAATTTATATTATTTAAACAAAAAATCCTCACATATTAAAGTGGCTCTCTCCACATTAATTGATTAATTAATCAATTTAATTAATTAATTTTTTTTATTTTACTCAACCAATGAAATTTAAATTTCATTGCTCTCGAATTTTTAAATCGTTCACGGATTTTAATTTCTCTTAACTTTTTATTGCTCCCGGATTTATTAAATTAATCAATAAATTTTAATTAATTAATTTTGATCAATTATTTTAATTTCATAATCAATTAATTTTAATTAATTTATTCATTTTGATTAATTAGTTTTAAGTAATTAATTAATTTTAATTAATCAATTGACTTCAATTATCTTTGAATAATCAATTAATTAGGTTTAATTAATTAAGTGATACTAATTAATTCATTTCAATTAATTAAATTTGTTGTTAATTAATTGAAATTAAATTTCAGTCGATTAATCTTTCATTAATTAATTCCAATTAATTTCATTCTTTTTAATTAATCAATTTCATTTTAATTAATTAATTTTAATTAAATCAATTGATTAATCAATCAAACTAATCAATTAAAATTCAAGTTGAATTGATCTCTAATTTCGACAGCCTCCCAGCATCCCCTCAAAAAAAAAAAAAAAGTTAAATACAATAAGTTTCAATACGTCCTTTGAGAATGACAGGATTTGGATTCCATAAAAAAACTCCAAAAAAAAAATTATAAGTGACAACACAGGCAGAGGACCAACAAGGCCAAAATAGAAAAACACAAAAGGCAATAGTAATGCAATCTGCAGGATAGCAGAGGCAACACAATTATAATAGAGAGAAAAATATTGTGGGTACTAGGATATCAGAAGTGACAGTAGCAATAGCAAGAAACAGTAGCGTGAACACGGGGATACTGGAGAGGAAGAACTGGAGGCAGCAACACCAGCAGGAAACATAATAGTGGGCAGTCAGAACTGGAGAACAGGAATCAAACGAGCAGCAAGAAAAAGACGCATTAGCAGAAAGCAACTTAACAACAGAGGTCGCAATAACAAGAGATAGGAAGCAGGAAGTGAAGCAAGGATTAGTACGATAAGGACACCAATAACATGGCAAAAAAGTCTAATAGTTGGTATCCATTCAACTCTTCACGTCAATTCTAATTGTAGAGTTAAATCTAAATTCTAAATTTATTAACATGAACTGTAATGGGCTGAGTTGAAACTTTAACCATACATGAATTATTTATGGTACCTTGCCTGAAGTGGGTAGCTTTGATTGGTGAAATAGAAGGCTTCTATATAATGTGCTATCATCCTTGAGTCTCTCATCCCACTCACTCTCTCTTTATATATATATACACACACATATGAGCAATATTTTGCGCTATCTTCCAGCATTACTTATCATGTTTATGCCAGTACTTCAAACAATAAAGATTGACAGTCATGTATCATTACCTTCTTTGCCATATCTAACCAATGCAAACAAATCTGCTTTAATTCTGCTATTTCCAACAAGAAATGATCTTTATGTGGTATCCCCATCTCTAGACCCTGCAATAACAGCGTTAACAGCCATCATTTTATAATAATCGCAATTATATGATCAGTAATGTACAGTAAACTTTTATATGAAAATTAGGACTTAAAAAAACGGTAGTACTATTAAATGAAAGGCATTAAACAAATTCATAACATCACAATAAAAATTAATCAAAAAAATACAAGTGAAACCACAAGTTTATTGACAAATGGCTGGCCCAAATATCTGACACTCAAAGTTAAATTGAACATGAAATACAATTGAAATCGAAAAACACATTTGAAACTGCTTTGTCATAGAAAATGATTAATATTTCATTAGAAAATACTGCCGAAGCATGTTAAGAGTCCGAAGACTCTTTACTGTAACGCTTATACCTCTTTTTCAAGATGCTGAATATGCTGCAGAGTTGTTTTTTTCACTCCACTCAGTAATCTCTTAACTCTGACTTTCCATGTATGTCTAGACAAGGCAGTTTGAAGGTTGTGACCACCATCGTGATCATATAAACCAGCTACTGCAGTTGCCTGTGAAAAAAGTCACACCTTAGACATGAAAAGATGAATATATATGCCACAGTTGATTAAGCAGACAAGAAAAGAACAATCAATAATAAAAAATAGTACAATGATAAAAAGAAACACGCATGTTATGTTTGAAACAGCAAGAAAAATTACCTTCAAAGCACACACAAGGTTTTCCGAGATGAGATTGAAATCATTGTAATGAGTATTTGCATGATCTACCACTCGAGATAAATTGGATTGGCACTCCTTAGCAAGCTTAAAAATTTCTTGCACCACAGTTACCTCTTCAATTCTGTTAAACAATTAGTTATAAAAATCAAGTTGAATGGATAGAAGTGATAACATTTCAAAATCTAGTATGGTGGAAATAAGACATGGCATGTGCAATCTTACGGAAATGCAAGACTCCAAAGATTCTAAGATAATTAGCCTCAAATCCTTAGAATATATGAAATGCATTTAAGTATCAAGAACACGTCAACCTCTGTCACACGCAACATCATAAAGAAAGTAGTATAGCACCTGGTGAGACAGAAGGATATCCAGGGTTGAAACCAGTTATCATTAGATGATCCGACAAAATTAAATATTGGATTGGTTACAGGGTTCTAGCATGCATACTGAAGTAACCTAGAGTACTTCTAAATAAGAAATGCTATTGCAGGAAGAAGACAAAAGGAAAACATTGAGAAGATAACAGGAAAAAGGTTATAATCTAGAAAAGAAAATGCAACGGCCTCGGGAATTTTTAAACGAAAGAATAAAAGAAACAATTTTTTTGTCCAAATAAGACCAATAGTCACTGCTAATAGGCAGTGTACAAGGCCATTGTTTTGGAAGTGGATATGAAGAATAGGATATTCTCCAAGAAAAAGAACTTGGTCTCACGTCACAAACACGAACTAGTGCAATTCAACACAGGATTATCAATGAATGGAGAAACACTCAAATTTCTTCACATAAACTCCACTTGGAATTGAAATCTAAAAAGCCAACCATTTTGTTTCTTGATGCATTTCCAATTTCTATGCACACCAAGTTTGTTCAGATTATTCCTATGATGTACCGACACTTCTCCTCAAAGAAGCGTGCAGTGTCCAACACCGTGTCCGATACAACACTCGTCTGACACTCCTCTGACACGTGTCGGACACGCCGAAAATGTGTCCGATTAAAAAAATATTAAAAACTAATTGGACACGCATATCTTAAATATTTTATAATTTTTTTAAAAATATAATTTCTTATGTTTGGCAAGATTTAAACTAAATTTTTTATTTCCTATCCACAACACCAAATCAACTTCTGCATTTAATACCCATTCATCGAATATTTTCATTTTCATTTCTTTGGCAGTGAAGGTATTTTCATCTCCTCTCTTTTTGTACAATTACAAATCTTTCTCTTGTTGAATCAGAGTTGAAAGCAGTGATATTCAATGATGATGGGCCAAAAACAAACCTCTAAAGCTAATCCTAGTAGTTGAAGCTTGAATGCTTGATGTTGTAGTAAGTGATTATTTGCTTATATTTTTGTGGTTGTATTAGGTATTTTATACTAAATATTTTATATTATAAGCTAGACAAGTTATCATGTCATTCATTTATTATTGTTTGCCATTTTTAATATGATATTACATTAATTTATATACACTATATAAAAAAATGTATTGCCGTGTCCGCGCCGTACCCGTGTCCTATTTTTTTAAAAAAAAGACGTGTCCCGTGTCCGTGTCGTGTCCGTGTCGCCATGTCCGTGTCCATGCATCATAGGATTATTCATTTTAATGTAAGCCAATAATTGTTTTACCATAGCAGTATCCTCAAATTAGACACAAGCATACTCACAACACGACATATCAATGACTGAGCTACCAAATCTTCATAGAGGTTACTTCTGATTAATTTTTTTTTCAGTTGATCCGAATCATTTTAAAAATTAATTGCACCAGGAATAATAAAATTAAATAAAAATCCGCACAAATATCTGTTTATGTGATTACTTCTGTGTAGATATCCCTGACTTGAACTTAAGTTAGAGCCATTAGGATTAAAGTCGGCATCCAAAAGATGCAATTAACATCTGCAAAGTGGAAAGCATGATCCACTTAACATTATGAAGCCCTCTGTAACAGGAATTGGTGCTTATCTTTGGATTTGAGGGCTATCAAATAGCTTGATCAGTTGATCTTGAATCAAGATCTTTAACGAGATGCTAAGAATACGAACATCACCCACAAGTTGAGCATGAAGGGGTTGCTTTAAGTTCAAAATGCTTTAACGCACAAGCTGATGCTTTCTAACATAAAACATGAATTCAATACAAAACATCAGAAAATCATCAGGAAGATAGAGGTGATGCAAAGCCCTAAAATCCAATGCCCAAAATAAAAGTATAACATATGAAGAGGACGTCTAATAAGAAGAATAACACCTGGTACCCCACAACAGTCCTCTTGAATTGAGAGTACATTTTCTTCACTACCTAAAGCAAAATTTTTACCAAACTGGCAGCATAAATATTTTCTACCACATATCCTATCTCATGACCAAGCCAAAAAACAAACCAGAAAGGACAAGAAACATCATATCTCCCAACATTTGCAAGTTTTCTTAAGCATGAACTCATATTATTATTGGGATTTCTGATCTTTATTATAGCATCATCATTAGGCAATCAATGCAGCTATATGAATCCTATATACATTCTTGTAACTGTGATCTTAATCCTATTTTGCCCATTTCACAATTTCTAACCTCCATTCTATTGTTTCTCAGCAATAGAATCTATAGAAAATAAGCAAAAAATTTGTAAATTACAAAAAACTATCGTCAAGCATCATTAATATATCTTATAATAGTTTCATGAATGCTTATCTCATTTGATATACGAATCTAGAATATATCTTTTACAAGGATGATTTCCCATTCTTCAATTTGCACGACTAGCAAAGCATGTAATGTTTAAGGGTGATAAAAATATCCAAAACTCAAAACTCACTCAATCTTTCAACTGAATAAAAGCTCAAATAAGGTTTGACTTGAGTTTCAAGCAAAGGTACTTAGCTTGAAAACTATTTTGATTCTAGGTACCTAACACAAGGTTCTATTCGATTCACTCAAAATCATTGTATATTAAATATATTTCCTATAATAATAAAGTAATTGTTGGTCCATTTGATTAGTGTTTTATAGTTAATGCAAGAAGTACTAAGTTCAATCTCTCCAACTTAAAACATTTTAAAATGTTTAGTTAACCGGAAACAATTATGAGTTAAGCTAAACATGATAATTTTGAGCTCTAGTCGAGTAAGACTCGCACAAAATTGACTCATTATCAATTTTAGTGAGGTTTATCACATCGTAAAAAAAAATCATGTTTTGAAAGTTTACTACAATATTCCATTTTTGGGTACGTGATTCCAATGTAATTAAAAGATAATTGGGCTTTACAAAAGACATGAGAACAAATGATTTACTATTGACAATTTCCTATCCAAATCTAGTGAAAAACAAGAACAAAAAATCATTAGGTCAATTTTGTGCGTTACATGACCCCTCTTCACACGAAAAAACACTAAATATCTCATCAACTAAACAAAAAAGATTAAAAAAAAAATCATTCAATTTCTCCCCACCAAGCAAGTGGAAGAAAACTAATTCCAATTCTATTCTTTTAATATTTCCATTACATTTTCATTTTCATTTCTCCCTTCTAATTCTTTCAAAAAAATAAGAACCTAAATAAAAACAATTTCCACCTAACCCATGAAATACATTTCAATCCCAAATTTGCTTGAAATCAAGGAATGAACCATTCAAGGCAAGAAAATACTGTTGCGCACAGCTTATTTTTACTACTGATCCGCCAAAAATACAACATAAACAAAAATAGAGATGAAACATTTCTATACCCTGGATAGAAACCCTGTGCATCAGTAACAAGCTTTGCAAAAGACTTCAATTCAGGACGATTTCCTTGACAAATCTGAAAGAGAGTTTGAATATCAGACAAGTAAGAAAAACGATTAAATTGACATACGTTGCAAGTTGATAGGTAGTGCCTACCAATGCTGTTTCTCCATTTTGAATACCTCCACTTTTCGTGTTAATGCAGAATGGGCATACACAGTCATCATTCATGCATGCAAAATGGTACCTGTCCGAAAAGTTCACATCAATCATAGGCATTGAAGAAGAATTAATAAATTAAAGTAAACGTTTTATGGCATATGAAATAGGAAAGCATGCGTTGAACAAGTCAAGTGGAGCACCATAAATAGCCCTACTGATATCATGTAAACAAAACTGAGAAGTAGAAATAACCTACCAGTAGATGAATCAACGCAATTTGGATGCTGATTTTGGAAAGGTGTTATTGAAAGGAATACATATAAAGCTATTCCTCTGTAAATAATCATTAATCTCAAACACAAAAAAACAAGCCTTACATGATTCCTGTTTGGTACCATATTTATTTACTAACAAAAAATGTTATATATATATATATATATATATATATATATATTCTGTGTCAATCCAATATGCTCCTACACAATTATCCATGAAGAATGTCAACCTGCCAGGATGGTGTTCGCCCTACAAAGAGGCCAATTCTCAAACCAGTGCTTGCACTAAGTTAAGCCATCTTATGAGGAATCTCTACCAGGCTCAAGCAAAAGAAATTCCATAAAATTTATCTCATACTGAAATAAATGACCTAAAACAGAAACTTGAGCAATGTCCTGTATAGCAAAAAAGGAAAAGTACCTTACCGGTCCTCACATGTCATGCATGTATACTCGCGATCACTTTCAGAATCATAGGGGAAACAAACGCAGAATGATTTTGCCCTGGATCCATTCAAACTCCCATATATTGACAATGCTTTATGAAGGGATTCCTTGATCTGACAAACCATAGAAACTTTATCTCAGAATCTTAGCCAAATAATTATCCTCTACGAGACAGTGCTGGGGTCAAATTAACATACCTTTATGAGCTCCATGAACAAAGAACCAAGGTTACCAACTAAAGGTTGCACATAAGCTTGGCATTGGAGCATCCATCTTTTAACCTCACCAACTTCATGAGCCACAATAGCCAGCTCTGGACAGTCAAATGCATCAGACTGTCCTTGCCCCTGTAAAATGGAGGTCATTGGTCAAAATTTAATGCATAAAAAAAATTAGACAGATGCTGATATGGGCTAATGATACAATACTTCCAGTCTTTCTAAAGCTTTTAAGTGTTTCAAACCATAAGATCAACAGTTTCAAGCAACAAACAAAAATGTCAAGTTTTCTTATACATCAGTAAAACCAATATAGAATTCCAATATTTTTCTTCTTAAATATTACTAAAATCAACATAGAATAACCTAGTATTGTTAATGGAAATGGTGGTAGAAAGAAAAATGTTGCTCATGGCAATGCATAATTAGATGGATAATTCACCCAAAGAAAACATCTTGCTACAATTCTAAGGCTGCATATGTTATATGAACTAAAAGTACTATCCAAAAATGGAATCAGAAAACCATTAAATGAGCAGTTCAATCTAAACTGCAATGTGTTGACGAATCTAAATATATTAAATTAATTAAGGTAGCTTGCCACTTGAAGGGCATACCTACTGCACCAAGCTTCACACAACTACGAGGTATAGAGAGGCGTTGATGCATGCAAGTTTATCCCTGCATTGCAAAATGGTTTTTTTCATGATTCGAACGTTGTGAACGCAAAGATTAGAATGGAGACAAGCCAAACATTGCTCCTACCCCATCCCACTGTGGTTGAATAGCACTTGTTCAACGTAATTGCATGGCATGCATCTTTAACCACATCCCTTCCATCACCAAGTGCAAATGAGATAATAATGATAAGAATCGGGTGTCAGAAGTACATTGCACACAAAAAACACAGAATTGTTACCCAACTTTGTGACAAATGAGCATACAAATGTGGAAATCCATTTTTTTGCAATTTCATTAAAAAATGCACAGGTTTCAAACCATTTATAGTATGATGAATTTAATTGGCAACTTTACAAACAAGCTTATTTTACATTACTAGACCAAAATCACCTCAAAAATAGGATGCAACAACATCATCATCATCATTAGTCTTGTCCCCACATTGTTTTTTATTATTCCAATTCACTTCTAAAAGAAAACTAACGTAAATCATGATAGAAACCAATATCACTCATAACAACAACAACATAATATCTTTATGAGTGATATTTAAACAAAAATCACTCATAAAGATATTATAATGTCAATTTTTTATGATGGTAGGATGTGGCATATTCATAAAGGTACGTGATACCAAACTCCACATGCCCATCTCATAGAAGCTTCAACTAGGACCAAAGACATTTTTCAATAACCATGCAAAGAAGCACAAATGTACGAAAAAATATTTAATCGAAGGGAGTAAATTCAGTATATTTAACAATGCATTTCAATTCCTAGGACACATACATATTGTACAAGTGTGCTTAGTGAAAAGTTCAAGTGGCGTCATATATGTCCCGTTTCCTTAAAAATAGCCATTAGGTCTAAGCTCATTTTCATGACATCCTATATGATCCTTCAAGGCCCCAAAAAAAAAGCCATTAGGACTAAACCCATCTTCATCATGGTATCCTATATGCTCCGACCAAAAATAGCCATTAGGTTTAAGCCCATTTTCATCATCCTATATGCTCTATCAAGACCCTAAATATAGCCATTATGTGTAAACCCATCTTCATCATGGTCTCCTATATGCTTCGACTTAACCCAAAACAGTTAGATGTAAACCCATCTTCATCATAGTGTCCTATATGCTCCATTGTCATTTAAAAACCGCCATTAGGTGTAAACCCATTTTCATGGTATCCTATATGCTCCATTTCCCTAAAAATAGTTGTTAGGTTTAAACCCATTTTTATGGCAACCTATATGCTCCATCAAGACCCTAAAAATATCCATTAAGAGTAAACCCACTTCCACATGATTCCCTATATGCTCCAACTAAAAATAGTTGTTACGTGTAAACCCATTTTCATGGTATCCTATATGCTCCTTATTTGGGATAGATCTCCCATTCAACTCTTCACTTTATTCTCAAGATTGTTGTAAGAAATCTCGAGGGGCATCCTTTCTTAGGAATTTTGGTTGATTGGGTAGTTGTCCAGATCTAATTATATAAATCTCCTTGTTTGGGATAGATCACTATTTCAAGTCTAAATCTTGGTCCTCTAAAGTTAGGTGTTAGTCTCCGTGCTTCATTTTCTTATGATCGTCCGATAGTGGTGGAGCAAAACCCCCGTGGCACTATCCTAGTTTAAATCTAAATCTTAGTTCTCTAAGGTTAGGTGTGAGTCCCCACACTTAGACTTACTTTGCTTATGACTAAATTTGCTAGTGATAGAGCGAGCCTCCCGTGGCACCATCCTAGTTTAAATCTAAATCTAAGTACTCTAAGGTTAGGTGTGAGTCCCGACACTTAAGCTTCCTTTCCTTATAACTAAATCCGCTAGTGTTGGAGTAAGCCCCATGTGGCACCATCCTAGTTTAAATATAAATCTTGATCCTCTAAGATTAGGTGTGAGTCCCCATGCTTCATTTTCTTATGATTGTCTGCTAGTGGTGGAGCTACCCCGCACCATCCTAGTTTAAATCTAAATCTTAGTCCTCTAAGGTAAGGTGTGAGTCTCCACACTTAGCTTATTTTTGTTACAACTAAATATGCTAGTGTTGGAGCAAGCCACATGTGGTACTATCCTAGTTTAAATCTAAATCTTAGTTCTCTAAAGTTAGGTTTGAGTTCCCACACTTAGGCTTCTTTTCCTCATAACTAAATCTGCTAGTGTTGGAGCAAGCCCCCCGTGACATTATATTAGTTTAAATCTAAATCTTAGTCCTCTAAGGTTAGGTGTGAGTCGCCACACTTAAGCTTCTTTTCTTTATGACTAAATCAACTAGTGTTGTAGCAAGGCTCTCGTGACACTATCCTAGTTTAAATCTAAATCTTAGTCATCTAAGGTTAGGTGTTAGGTGTGAGTCTAGGCTTCCTTTCCTTATGACTAAATATGTGTGAAGGCTCCCTAATTCTAGTTTTATTCCACAATTTTTGAGAATTTCAAATTTAGGGTTTTTCAAAAATTTAAGTTTTTTTTTTTTAAATGCTTCCACAAATAACATTCCTAATAGCCTTAGGAATGTTTCTTTTAGGGTAAAATTAGGGTTTGACTAATTTTTTTATTTTTCTAATTTTTAATTTAATAAATCAGAAAATTAATATATTTAATTATTAGTTTAGAGATATGGGAGAGTTTTAAATACAATTATGATGAAAAAAGATGAAAAATTAAGTTTCAAATTTTAGGGTTTTGAACAAAACCGAATTTCGTAATCATTTTAAGTCAAGTTAAGTAAATTGTATGAATTAGAACATGGAAAATATGAGAAAATACAAAAAAATGAATTTCAAAATTTAGGATTTAAATTAAATCCGAAAATAATTATATTATAATGACAAATCTAATTTAGGTTAATATTATAACGACAAAGGAATTAATGTTATTAATGACACATTATAGTAACAATTAAGAATTTTGGTTAATGTTAAATTAAGGATTTATGTTGTAACATAAATGACATTTAATTATGTTAAGGACTTATTTTATGTTAATGATATTAAAATGTTTATGGTTAAGGGAGTACATTGAATATAAACCTTTCAAATTAATGAAAATATTTTCCCTTAGGTCTTGTAAACGGAAGTGGTAAGGAGAGACCGTCGTGAGGTTAGACGACGATTCAAACGTATTTCAAGATTTGTTTGCTTGAGGTAGGTACAATTAGCTTTCCATGTTCAATATTCTTTAATGTTATTTTCAAAATTTCATGCAATGAAATGTATAGTTTAGGATTAGCATAGCATGCAAGTTCTTTTATTTTACATGAAATTAACACTGACCTACTTTGAGTAATTTTTGACATGTTATAGTTTCACAATTTTCTTCAAAAGAAATCTTCATGTAGTCATGCCCCAAAATATGACAATTCAATGCATATAATTGGTTAGAAACATACGAATGATTGTATGTCATGTATCTATCCTATGATACTTAGTGTATGTGGATTGTGTATGTTGAGACGGAGTACCAATATGATGCATAAGCCAATATGGCTCCTCAGAGCAAATATGGCTCCTCAGAGCAAATATGGCTCTTCGGAGAAAATATGGCTCTTCGGTGCAATATGTTGAAGGAAAATTATATGGTTAATATGTATGTGTACCTGATCAGTACACTTTAGGTACTCTGATACGAATGTATAATATAAGAAAAAAAAATGTATATAAGATATGATATAGAAGATATATGGAGAGACATGATTTGAGATAAAATAATAAGTATATGACACTTAGCATATGACACATAACATATGACACCAAAGGAAATATGAAACAAGGGGAATCATATATATAGTACATGACTACCTTTGTATGATATTATATTGTTTAATTCTTTGAATTACAAGTCATTAGTGCACTTCAAGCATGCATATTGGTCCCTCTTACATTTTATTTGAATTTGGTAGAGTAAATTGTTACTTGCTGGGCGTTAGCTCATTCTCTAATTTTGATATACTTTTTAGGAGATCCTTTGTTAGGTGATGACCGAGCGATCCTAATTTACGTATAGCCGTAGAGAACCTGAGGACAGATTCCTTATGTAATTTTTTTTAGTTATGGAATGATTTTTTATGGTGGATGCTGACATGAAAGAAAAATTTTGTCCACCTTTATACATCTTTGACTTATTATATGAAAAGTTTTGATATAGAATTGGAAGTTGTTTTTAGAGGCGCTGAATTATCTATTGAATTGCTTTAGATTCACTTATTCATGTTTTAATGTTATTGAAAAGATATTATTTTAACTTTTAAGTCCAACATTTGTTCTGACTCGTCTATGCGAGCAAACCAGATCGGGTCGTGACACATACAGTGAATCGGTACAACAACAATCCTAACAATAGCGACAGAGAATTATAAACTCCCAAACTGGATGGTTGCCCCAGAATTTTCAGTATTAATAACAGCATTGGCGAGCTGAATATTGGCTCCACAATTCAATTGCACCATAA